TTCTTCTGGCCATGGTGGGGGCCGTCAAGGAACCCTCTTGGAGCGTCTGGGGCGCGGTTTGGGTCGTCGAGGAGCCTTCGTGGAGCGCCTCGGGAGAGCGGCGGGCCGTCTGGAGACCGCGGGCGTCTGGAACACATTTTCCGGCGGCTCGGGCGTGACTCGGGGTCCTATTGGGCTGTCCTGGGAGCTGCTTTGGGGCCTCTTGGATGCTCTGGGCGCCCCTGTGGGTAGCCCCTGAAACTGTCTTGAAGCGGATGGTGGTGCTTCCGGGGCTGAGTTGGAGCGTCGGCAAGCCAAAGAGGCGGAGATCCCCCAACGCACCAACAACCTGGAAAACACGTGAATTGTGCCTCTTGGGGCCCCCTTGGTGGCTGTCTAAGAACCCTCTTGGAGCGTCTTGGAAATATTCTGGGTCGCCTGGGAGCCTTCGCGGAGCGCCTCGGGAACGTCGTGGGCCATCAGGCGACAACCGCGACAATATGGGAAGGATTCTCTGGTGACTCGGAAGCGACTCCTGGGGCTGTCTTGGGGCCCTCCTGGACCGTCTTGGGGGCCGTCTTGGGGGCCTCTTGGGGCGTCTTGGGGCGGTCTTGGGGGCCTCTTGGGCCGAATCAAAAAAAATGTACATGCTAAAAACGCACGCTTTCCGAAATGAATTGTGCGATGTTGGCCTCTGGGGCCTCTCTTGGGAAGGAACTGGGGGCTCCCTGGGGGCCATCTTGGGCGTCTGGAAGCTCTCTGGGGTCGCTTTCCCGGGCTGGAGCGCGCTTGGAACCAATCTGGGAGCAATCTCGGGCTCCCCCGGGGCCGCCTGGTTCAGCCATGGAGGGTCGGGCCCTATTTTGGGGCCGCGGGCCCCCCTGTGATATCTCTCTCTCTCTCTATATATATATAGATACAGCTACTCATATATATATCGGATCGGATCGGACCCCTCGGAGGCAGCAGTACGGATGTCTCGGACGCCGAGTGCCTCTAGGATCGGGCTACGCCCGAAACTAAACCATACAGTCACACACTGACAGAAAACGAAGCGCAGGTCTTAGCGCCTGCTCGTTCCTACGAGTCTCATAATGGCATCCATCGTCCTTGAATCGACACCTGTGCTTTGTCTGGCAGCAGTGGGAGGAAAAGACGAGCCGCGGGAATTGCATGTATAAATAGCGCGAGCTGGCGGTGGGACGGAAGTCCTGCGAGGCCTCTTAGGGGGGGGAGGAGGAAGAGGAGGCTCGGAGGACGGAGGAGGGGGTTCAGGGGCGCTGGGCAGGCTAGGCTCTGGGTCCTCAGAGCGGCTCTGCATCCCAGCCTGGGCGAGGGCGCGGGCGCGTGCTAACAGCGAAGCTGCCCGCATCTCAGTGCGGGTACTCGAAGGGGCAACCCTCGTAGGTGATCGATGTGGGCTTCCCATGCCTCGAACCACTGCTGAGGGCGCACTCGTAGGTGCAGCAGGTGGGTAGTCCGTGCCCTGAACGACTGCAGTGGAGGTGGGTGCACTCTTCGGTGCTTGAGGTGGGACTCCCATGCCCTGAACTGCTGGCGTAGAAGTCGGCGTACTCTGTGATGCAGGAGGTGGGCTCTCCATGCCCTGAACAACTGTAGTAGGCGCACTCTGTGAGGCAATCGGTGGGCTCTCCAGGCCCTGAACAACTGATGGTGTAGGCGCACTCTGTGATGCAGACGGTGGGCGCCCCATGCCCTGAACTGCAGGCGTCAAAGGAGGCGCATTCGTAGATGCGTGTGGTGGGTTCTCCATGCCCTGAACAGTTGGCTTAGTAGTTGGCGCATGCCCAGACGCAGGCGAGAGGCCCCCCCTGCCTGTCGTCACAGTATTCTTCGGAATACAAGTGTCCCATAGCGCACAACTATGTCTAGTCCAGTTGAAGGCGTTAAAAGCTATCCCATGGTCACGTCCTCTAACTGCGTCAGCTTCGTGTGAAGGATCCTCTCCATGTGCACCATCGGACCCTGCCCTGGCTTGTAGATCGCTCCCGTCTGGATGCGTGATTCGTGGATCACGCTGAGGTCGACGTCGCTCTTGGGGTTGAGGCTGATCTGAAGCTTGCACTGCGCGGCGTCGCGCGCGTCGCTGGCCTTCATGAGCGGGGCGATCTCGACGATCTGCTTGATGTCCATGGTCTTCAGCTTCTCGCCCAGCGCTGTCAGGTTCTGTTGGTTGAGGCCGCCGACGGACGCGCCTTCCCGATGGAGACCTTCGAGCAGACCTGCGAAGGCTGCGGTGCTGATCGTGCCGATCTTCGCCATCTCCGCATCGATCTGTGTTGCAGTCGTCGTACTTCGTATCTCTTCGGCTCTTTTTGCCCATGCGCGAACTCGAGCTCTGATCGCCACGACGCTTTTCGTGCCAGGTGAGACGAGGTGCGTCTTGATCAGCATGGCGTCGGTCTGGCGCTGCCTCATCGCAACGTTGAGTAGTAGCTTCATGACTATGGGAAACATGCGCTGAATATCCTTCAGTTCCATCTCCTCCAGGTCGAGTGACTGCAGGTCCACCATCTTGGACTTCGACACATTCTGTTGGTTTCCACGGCCGGTGGGCTGGCGGCGTCGGGACTTGTGAGCAGGCTGCGTCGCATCTGCCGCGGCTGCGCCTGCGTGCTGCCCAGCGTTGGGCAGTGAGCTCATCCACGACATGAGGGCGAGGTTCGGGAAGGTGTTCTGTCGCAATGTGAGCTTGCAACTCGCCGAGGGTAGCGAAGGTGTGCTCGCATACGTCACTTGGGCAAAACAGCTGCGGAGGATCGTTCACCTCGAAGTTGTAAACAGAGCGGTGTTTTTGGCATCTCCCAGAAAGATAAGCAGCAGCAAGATGATTGATCGCAGTCTGTCGGCTCGCGAAGGTCGATCGGCAGTTAGGGTATTGGTTCGTCATCGTGAATCTCGTATGCTCGCATATTCGTCCGTGCTCGCTTCCCTCCCCACTCGTCGTTTGGTGTACTCGGAGCGCTTGTTTTGTTTCGGCCGTGAACAGGCATGACGCTCCATCCTCGCATAGAAGGCCACACGTGCGGGGGCTACTCCAGGCGACTGTTGCATCTGGAGCCCTGCGGGGTGGTGGGGCGGGCTGTGCAATCCACCACTTTCGTGCACGTGCAATCGTTAGCTTGATGAACACGTCTCGACCAGGTGTCGGTCGAAAAATGTCGAGCAGATCGTCGCCAATGACGTCTAGGCATGCTCGTCCGTCTGCAAATACATTCAGCAACGTCATGTCATCAAAGAACTGCTTGCGCCAAGGAGTGGTCATATGTGTGGGGCCGTTACCATCTGGGGGGCCACGAGCGTTGCATGTAGAGGCTGTGTGTACAGGGGCCCAGGGGAAGTCCAACGTCGTCGTGGACTCGCATAGTAGTTTGCCAAAAACACAGGCTAGTAGTTGAGCGTGATGGTCAGGTTCTCGTGCAACGCGTTGCCATCGCTTGATGCGCGCGATCTGTATGTCCAGGGAGGGCGGTGCCATCTTATTTTTTTCCAGACCGCATAATATGAGATATTGCGAACAACCTCGGTGGTGCTAGAGGTGGCGTCGTCGTCGGCGGACTGCTTGATATATGCGGTACCTTGAAGTAGGGCGCGGGCGTAACGAGCTACACAGGCGTCTATCTGATCGAGTTGTGTCTTTGTCGGTACACGTGATTCAAGTCCAGAGGTAGCGGCCGATAATACCTGACTTCTGAAAACCATTTTCCGACGTCTTAAATATCGGCAACTCTTCCAGAAACGTCCCATACTGCGCCAACCGCGAATGATGGAGCCTAAGAACAGGGTCGAGGAATGAACTTCGCACTGGTATCTTGCGATAATGTAGGGCGCGCGCGTATCTGTGAGCGCCAGTGCCGACAAACGTTGGTAGAAGAGCCTTTTTCCCCGCATTCTGCTGCAGCCCGATGGAGCGCAGCTTGTCATTCAGGATCTGGTCGGATTGTTGAACTCTGCAGGCCGCCATCTGCGCATCGTGACACATGTGGGTCTTGGTGAGGTCGTCGGCGTACTTGCGGACGCTGGGGTCGACGTTGGCGCCAGTAAACTCGCACCCCGCAATCATCGATGTGCTGGTATCGGTAGTGAGTGCATCATTCCATTCAGTGGTGGGCTGCATGAAGGCCACTCGAAACTTGATCGCAGCATCGGCATCTCCCATGAAGCAGCCTACGGTGTACTGGTATCCCTGAGTGTCAATCCCGTCGCTAATCACACATGCTGCTCGACGATGCCTGCCTTTCATGATTGTACAGTCGCCAGGGAGGTATATCTTGTCCACGGCGTCGTCGAGGTGGGAATGGTTCACCGAGGCGAAGGCGTTCGTCATGTCGTGCTTCGTGGCGATGCGGCTTCGTTGCTGCTTGGTGAGGCGCCACTGCAGTGCTGAGCCGACTGTGATCGCTGCTGAGCGTGATCGTGCACGCGCGTAGCCGTGCTCAGTATCATGCAATGGTGTGGACGTGAGAGACTGTCTCGAAGCAACCCATGTCTTTCCGAACGTGCATAATCCGTGTAGTAATCGAGTGCCTCGAGTACGTGGTTTATTGTTCATCTTGCTTACTTGATAGGTCTGAGAAGGGTTCCACCAAGCATTGAGCCGCTGATGTTGACGAGCCGCTGCAAGTTGTGTAAGAATCGCATCGCCGAGGAGGGGGCCTGGGAATATCATCGTGTGGTCGTACTCATGACTGCCGTCTTTTTTGCGGTCATCACTTCTATCGACGAGCAAAAGAGACCAGATCTCTGCAGGTAGCAACCATTCGGGAGCAGCTCGTCGGCGTGTGCAATGCATCCGTAGCTGGCGTTTGATCGCATCGAAGTCGTACTGGGCGTGTCTCCACTGATGTGCAGAAGGGCAGAATCGCTCGTCGTTTGAAGCAGCGGTGTCGATGAAGTGCTCGATATCACTCGGTGCCGCCTCCATTCCTCCTTCCGCGCCAGGAAGTGCCATATCTTCAGTCCATGTTTGAACAGAGGGGCGAGCGTCGGGAAGATCAAAGTAGCAGCGTTTGCCGGAGCCCTTTCCATTGCCTGCAGGGCGTCGACAAGCTCGCCAGACCTCTGCTTCCAGTCCTGCCTCATCAGCTTGCTGTAGTTCGCGAAAGTGCTGTTCGTCTCGGAGGTCACGTAGTCGGCGTCGAAGTTTTTTGCAGGCAGCGCTGCAGCGGTGCAGAGCAAGCGTGTCCTCTAGGTCGTCTGTTATGTTCTGCCGAGCCTGTGTGCGTGCATGTAGTGCTTGACGTCGTTGCTCTGCTAGCTGCTGGTACTCTAGCTCGATCGTGGACTTCTTTGCTTCAAAATACGCCAGAGCTCGTGTGCGTATCTTAGATACCAATAATTGCCATCCCGGCTCCATCGTGTGTCTTTCAGCCCAGTCTGCCATATCACGGTAGCCGTTCTCATTGAGGTAGTTAGACAGGTCAGACTCAATGTCGCCGCGTAACTGCTTCGCCCATTCGGAGAATCGTTCATCTTTCCAGGCCAAGAATATGCGTGTGTAGTCCCACTGCGGCGTTGTCTGAGGTTTGTCGTATGTTAGGGTGCAGTCCACACCGATGTACAGCAGCATGTGATCCATTAGTCGTTGAGACGGAAATGCTCGGAGTCGTTTGGTCAGGCGGTATGCGATGTTATGGCGACGTACTCGCGGTAGATAGCGCATCGGCATCACCAGGTAATCGATGTAGCTCGAGTGCCCTCGTAGGCCGTGATAAGTGGGGCCGCACGGGTGGTGCGTGTTCGTCGCGCACAGGGCGTAGTCTTTCAATAACGTATGGAAAGCTTCGCCCGCATAGTGCTGTTGACCGTATGCATGGTCACCTATGGTGGCATCGTCCTCTGTCGAGTTGGTGCGCGCGAGGCTGTCGTTCAGGTCGGTGCCGATGAATACGCAAGTACGGTTCGGCAAATTCGAGACGATGTCGTGCAGATAGCTGAGCATTTTGTCGATGATGACTTCGTTCTTTGAGGCAGTAGCGATGCGCTGCGATCTCGGAGGGAAGTATGCTGTGATGAAGGTGAAGTCGAACAGTGCGCTCTTCACGCGCGTAGCACCTACACGGCCGCGGAGAGCGGGTGGGGGCTGCCAGATATTGATTGTGTGTGTCTTCCGAAACCATCGTCTGCTCAGCCAAATCTCGGTGCCACATGATTTGTTGCCTGTCGTGTTCTTATTACTGCGATGCCATCCAAACTTCATCATGAGAAATTCTGCTGTCGAGTGCGTCTCGTAGGAGAACATGGTCTTGGTCTGCGTTCCAGAGGGGAGGACGGCATCTATGTGTTCGAGCTCCTTAGAAATCTCCAGGCGTTTGTCGTAATCTTGCAAGGACATCGGATTCCAGGAAATGAGACGCATGCCGGCTGTCAGTGTGTGACATAGACGCCCGACTTTCAGGACAGTGGGCATATTGTCCACGCTCTGGTGAACTCCGAGAAACTCGAACCATAGCTATATATATATATATATATATATATATATATGTATCGATGTATATAAGTACATACAAATATGTACATATGTATTATATATAGATGCGTGCATCTCATCTGTATCTATACGCACCAAAACCATCACGAGCGCTTCGCGCGAGCTCATGTTCTAGCGCAGGCCAGGGGGGTCGCTGGAAGAGCTTGGACAGCGCTATTATGCACAAGCGCGTGACATAGTCGTAACCATCCTCACCCTCATCCTCATTCCCGTCCTAGCCCTCATACTCCTCATCGTACTACTCACCGTCATCACAAACTACATCATGAATGATGATACCTGCCATCATCAAAAAAACAACAACATCATTGAACACATCATTGGCCCAATGCTGCAAGTCATACCGTCACGTGACACTCGCATATCGTCGTCATCATCCTCAGTATCATCCGGATAATAATGATCATCATTACCCTCCTCATCATCAGCAGCATTATCACCATCACCATCACCATCACCATCGCCATCACCATCCTGGTCCTGATCCTGATCCTGATCTTTATCCTCATCCTCATCCAAATCACCATCTTCGATCTCACTCCCATCACCAGTCTCATCACGCTTCGCTAGCCGTGCGCATCGTCGCCTTCATCCGCCACCCTCCCCCCCCCAAGCGCCTCCAAGAGGCTCCCCGAGGCGCGCAGTCGGCCAGATGCTCCTGGAAGCCTCTCCAGGAACATTGGGCCGACGACAACAACTATGAATATGTTGATGTTCATTATGGTTATCATGAAGATCATGATGATGGGTAAGACGGCTCTTGGAATTTATTTGAAGGTTGTCTTGGGGCCTTGTTCTGTCGTTTCGCAAGCCCTTTGGGCCGCCTGGAGGGCATCTGGAGGCCTGGGAGGCCGGGCCGGCCCATCGAGAGCGACAAATCAGCTTCTTGTCATGTCGTGTCCCATTGGTTATTGAATGATTTGGACGTCCTGCTGGACTCGTGGAAGCCTCTTGTGGGTATCTTGGAGGCCTCGTGGGGCCCTATCGGAGCTGCCTTGGGGCCTCGAGGAGGCTTCGCAAGCTGCCTGAGGACGCTTTTGGCCCAGCTGACGCTTCTGGAAGCCGTCAGGCTGGGCTCTTCGAGATCGCTTGGATCGTTTTGGGAAACTCTTGACGACTTTTAGAACTGTCTTGGTGGCCTCTGGGGCTCCTCGTGGGGCTCTCCCGGGGAAGTTGGGGGCTCTCGAGCAGCCTCAGAGGCGGCCACCAGGATTGAGAAGGAAACAGAAACGTCATAATTATGATGATCGTCACCATCATCGTTACCGCCACCGTTCGTGTCAACATCCGCATCCTCAACATATATCGTCGTGTTTCATCATCGAAGTCGTCCTCAACATCAGCAGCGACATCGCCATGAATGTCACCATCATCACCACCAGCATGGACCGCACCATCATCACCACCATCATCACCATCACTATCACCATCACCACCATCATCATCATCATCATCATCATCATCATCATCATCACCAGCATGGGCCGCATCATCATCATCAGCACCACTATCATAATCACCAACACCATTACAATCACCATCACTATCACCATTCTCGTCATCATCGTCATTGACATCATCATTGTAAGCATCATTGTAATCATCAATGTCATCATCACCATCATCGCCCTCGTCGTCATCGTCATCGTCAACGTCACCATCAGCATCATCATGATCATCACCATGATCATGATCACGATCATGATTATTATCATCATCATAATCATCATCATCACCGTCGTCACCCTCATCACCATCATCTGATCATCTCCATCATCATCCATATCAATACCATCGTGAACATAGCCGCCATCATCAAGAGCACCACCATCACAATCATCATCTTTATCAAGAGCGTCACCAGCATCATCAGCAGCATCAGCATGAGCATCAAAACCATCATCATCGCCATCATCAGCAGCAGCAGCAGGAGCAACATCATAATCGTAATCGTTCTTACCGTCGCAACAATCAGCATCAAATCGTCGTCATGACCATCTTGGACAGACATTGGTCCGTCCTGGAGGCCTCCGTGAAGCCTCTTGGGAGCCTTTTGCCGCCGTCTGGGAGCCATCTCGAGCTTTCTGGGGCGGGGGCAGTATCATCATCAACATCATCATCGTTATCCTTCGGATCTTCGCAGCCATGAACATCGAAGCCGCCTTCGTCACATTTTATTGGCATCGTCGTCGTGCCGTGTCCCGGAGAGGCCTTCGGGAACATCAGGCCTGCTGCGGGTGAGGGGCTCAGAAAGGCCGTCAGGAGTGAAGGAGTCCAGCATCAGGCTGGCTGCGCACCTTGGGAAACACTGTCGAGGTGTGGGGGGGTCGGAACGGGCCTTCGAGAGGCTTGATGGAGCTCCCCGTGTGCCTGTGATAATCTCTTGGGGTCTCTTGGAGCCCCGCTTCGGGGCGTTTGGAGGGGTGTGGTGATGATCACCATATCATAAGCATCATCATCACGATCATCGCCATCATCAACATTATCACTGCCATGATTCCATCGGCATGCCCATCACCAACATCTTCCCCATTATCACCACCACCACCACCATCACCACCACAACCACAACCATCATCATCATCATCATCACCATCACCATCACCATCATCATCATTAGCATCATTATCATGGTCACCATCATCATCATCATCATCATAGCAAACATCATCATTCCTATCACCATCATCGCCATCACCATCATCATCACCACCATCATCGCCATGACCGTCATCATCATCGTAATCATCATTGCCATCATCATTAGCATCATCACCATAATCATAATTATAACCATTGCAACCATCATCATCATCATCACCACCATCATGATCATCATGATCATCACCATCACCATCACCATCATCAACATCGTCATCATCATCATCATCGCCATCATCACCACCATCACCACCACCACCATCATCATCACCACTATCAGCATCATCATCATATCATCGCCATCACCATTGCCATGACGCCAACATCATTACCATCACCACCATCGCTATCATCACAAACACCACCACCATCATCATCATCATCCACATAATGATCACCACAATCGCCATCGCCATCACCATTATTATCATCATCGAGATCATCATCCGTGTCATTATTAGCATCATGAGCATCTTCACCATCGTCACCATTAATTATCATCATCACGGCCATCATAATCGCCACCATCATCACCACCACCACCATCATCATCACCATCAACATCGTCATCAACAGTGTCATTGTCATCGTCATCATCATTGTAACGATCATCATCTCAATCGTCCTCGTCGCCATCATCTTCACCGTAATCATCATCATCACCATCATCGTCGTCGTCATCACCCTCATAACAATTATCATCTGATCATCACCATCATCATCTTGTCATCACCACAATCATCCATGTCAGTATCATTGCCATTATAGCTATCACCAACAACACCACCATGACGATCATCATCTTTACCACACTCGTCACCATTGTCGCCATCACCATCGTCATCATCATCATCATCATCATCATCATCCTCATCCTGATCATCATCCTCAACATCAGCACCATCAGCAACATCAGCTTCATCAGCACCATCATCATCAGCATCTTCATCAGCAGCAGCATCATCATCGTACTTCTTCTCATCGCAGCAGTGAGCATCAAAGTCGTCGTCAAGAAAATCTTGGACACACATTGGTCCGTCTTGGAGGCCTCCTGGAAGTCTTTTGGGCTGTCTGGGAGCCATCTTGAGCTGTCTGGGGCGAGGACAATTATCATATACGCATCACCATCAGCACCACCATCATGATAATCATCATGATCATCATGATCATCATGATCATCATGATCATCATCATCATCATCGTCATCATAATCATAATCATAACCATCATCACAATCATCGTCGCCCTTCCTGTCATCGCAACCATGAACATCGAAATCGTCTTCATGAACATTTCTATTGACATTTTCGCGGTGCCGTTGACCGGATGTTCCCGGAGAGGCCGACCAAATGGTCCTGGAGAGGCCTCCGGGAACATCAGGCCTGCTGCGTGTGAGGAGGTCGGACGGGCCGTCAGGAATGAAGGAGCCCAGCATCAGGCCGAATGCGCGCCTCGGGGAGCATTGTCGAGGTGTGGGGGGCTCGGAACGGGCCTTCGAGAGGCTTGTTGAAGCTCCCCGTGTGCCTGTGAGATTCTCTTTGGGTCTCTTAGAGTCCCGCTTCGGGGCGTTTAGAGGAGTGTCGTAATGATCATCATAGCATCAGCACAAGCAACACGATCATCGTCATCATGACCATCATCACTGCCATGATTCCATCGCCATGACCATCACCACCATCACCATCATCATCACCATCACCAACACCACCACCATCATCATCATCATCATCAGCGCCATCATCATCATCATTCTCATCACCATCACCATTCTCATCAGCATCATCATCATTACCAGTATCATCATTACCATGGCCATCATCATCAGCATCATCATCACCACCATCACCATCATCATCACCACCACCATCATCATAATCATCACCATC